ATTCATATGTGGAATTTATGGCCATTTGCTATAATCGATTGTATTAATCATCTTTATTGTGGATATATTTTCATACGAAATTCTTTACTTTATTTTAATATTTCTTCAATAGGTCTCATTTTTTATGCATCACAGTTGAATTCATTAAATAAAATGATTAACGATCTATTCGTCAATCGCAGACATATAATGAATTCTCGATTGAATTATTTACGTCAGTTAGTTTGGCGTCAATTTCAACGACAACATCAACATATGACCTATTGTATGATGTATAGTGGTCATGATCTTTGGAATGATGTATACTTTATTGGTATTATGGCCAATATTCCATTGAATATAATGTGCATCTATAATCTTGTATTTCGAAATGATTCATTAAATAATCAATTTATGTATTTAGGATTTTTAATTTCTCAAATGTTTGTTCTATCTGCAATCATGGTAAATGCTTCAACAATGCATTTTTCAGCTAATCAATTTAAACGACAATTACCGATTATACAGTTAGGTATGAAAAAACCATCAATTAAATGGCAGGTTAATGAATTTTATGAACGTTTAACAACCACTGAAATTGGTTTTGGTTTTTATTGCGGTCGTATTGGTATTATTAATTATCATAATTCCTTTCACGTAAGTTAATTTGAAAAATCAAATAAATATTTCTATTCAACAAGTTTATTTTCTTTCAAATCTATAGATTTTAATTTCATATTTCGCCTTTATGTTGATAATGTTTAAATTCTTTTTCAATAATAATATCTAAATTATGTCGAAATAAACAATATTGAATTATGAGAAATTTATTAGTTGGGAGAAGTCTTGTATTTTATTCATCAAAAAAGAATACATTGAATGAAAAACTTGTTCATCTTTTCAATAATCATAAACATTTATCAAATTTACTGTTATATTATTTACGTTATAATGATTTGGATTCTTGAATTTAGATTTTTTAATTTCATATTTTGACTTTATGATGATAATTATGTTTTTTCAATAATGATACTATAGTGTTATTTTGTCATAGCAACTTCAAAATTAACTTATTTATTTTTCGGAGAATCAACATTCATTTAATATATTTCTTAACTTTTTTTTTCTTAACTTTTGTTCAAATTCAATTTCAATTAAATAATCCTTTAATATAATTATATTTTATGTAATTTCTTCATTATTGTTTTACTTTTACTTTAAATGACAGCATATTTTACCGAATATTGATTATCAATGAATTCTCCTTGACAAAATAATGTTAAAATCATTATAAAATTCAATATTAACTATTAATTGATTTTTTTTTGTTTTTTTGTTTTTCATTTCTTAAATTTGTTTTGCACAAATGTGTTATTAGCAATGTGAGTAAATGAAAGCTTATTATTATAAAATTCATTGAAAATATTTGTGGTAAAGAACAATTAAAAAAAATTCATCTTTTCAAAAGAATTTCATAACAATAATGAATTTTTCTCCTTGAATAGTTTTCACTCCGAACTCTGATATAATTTGATAGTTTTTTTAAACACTTTCTTTATTTCAATTGTGTTTGCATTACTGATTATTCAATATTGAAGATTTCTTCTCAGTCATGTTATTTGATCGTTTCAAATATTATCATCAATTTGAACAATTAATGGATCCAAAAAATCGTAAATGGTGGTTATTTGAATTGATGTTGATCACCATTCAAATCGGACGTTTTTTATTCTATGTTATTCTTAGTTTTATGGATGAATCCGTTTTACGATCATATTGTTCATATGATACAACCGCTGCACCATTATTTGATTATTTTACTCATTTAAATGATGGAACATCATTGAATCTTAATGATTGCCGTCTTACATCACTTATCATATTAATTTTTTTCATTTTTGTTCTATATAGTGACTTTAAAATTTTTGTTACCGATCATGAATTAACACTTGCATGGAGATTATTATATGATTTGTCTAATCGTAATTATGATTACTATCGTGCTTCAATTGTTAATGAACAAAATATGAATATAACCAAAATGGTAATTAAAGCGTTAAGCAATAGCAATGAATTCGATGAACATATGCCGAATTCATCAACTAGAATAATAAATGATCGCTTAGCAAAAATGTTGAAAAAAAATCGTAAAACTTTCATTGATAAATGTTTCATACAGCTAATGTTGAATATAAATCTTTATGAATTTAAAAAATTACGTTTGAAAATATTCCCCTATGCCGGTTTAAAGCAACGAATCGCACTGGCAATGACAATGATTATTTTACATTATATGGATGTATTTTGGTTTATATTGGTTATATCTACTTCAGTAAATTTTGGTTGTCTAAAATATTTTAATTTTATCCGTATTCATATGATGAATTTATGGCCATTTGCTATAATCGATTGTATTAATCATCTTTATTGTAGCTACATTGTCATCAGAAATTCTGTTCTTTATTTTAATTTTTCTTCAATAAATCTCATTTTCTATGTTTTACAGATGAATAGCTTAAATAGAAAGCTTAAAAAAGTTTTTGGCAATCACAGACATATAATGAATTCTCGATTGAATTATTTACGTCAGTTAGTTTGGCGACAATTTCAACGACAACATCAACATATTACACATTGTATAATGTATGGTGGTATGGAAATTTGGAATGGTGTATTGTTTATGGGCATAATGGCTAATATTCCATTGAATATAATGTGTATCTATAATATTGTATTCAAATTTAATTCATTAAATAATGAATTTATGTATTTAGGATTTATAATATTCCAAACTTTTATCTTATCCACTGTTATTATAATTTTATCGGAAATAAATTTTTCAGCTCATCAATTTAAACGACAATTACCAATTATACAATCATGTATGAAAAAGCCGACGATTAAATGGCAGGTAAATGAATTTTATGAACGTTTAACAACCTCCGGCAAAGGTTTTGGATTTTATTGCGGTCGCATTGCTATTATTAATTATCATAATTCATTTCAGGTAAGTTAATTTGAAAAATCAAATAATTATTTCTATTCAACAAGTATATTTTTAAAAAAAAATCTAGCTTTTATTTTCATATTTCACCTTAATGATGATTATGTTTAAATTCTTTTTCAATAATAATGTCTAAATTATATCAAAATAAACAACATTTTACGATTTCATTTTTCTCTGTGTTATAAGCGTGATTGAAAATTTGTGTTTTACTAACAGGTTATTGGGCCTTGTCACGTTATTTTTTATAATGTCGTTATTTGCATCGATTACTCCAATACCAAAATTTATTTAATAATTGAAACTTTGGAACATTTTTTTTTAAATCTAAAATTTTAATCAATCATTTAATAAATGTATCCCCAAATTCACATTCTTATAAAAAAAATCTAATCATTATAATGTAATCCGAATGAAAATGAATCTAATTTATTTACAAATCGATAGAATACAAAAAAAAAAATTCTTTCGACACTTTTGTCATTGAAACTTTATATATATAAAAAAAATGTGAAATTCATTCATTTTGCTTTTCATAATTTAATAAATCATGAGGAAAACACAAAAAACAAAAACAAAAAAAAAATCATTAAAGCTTTTGTATTTGTCATTTGTCATTTTGTGACAATCGTTCAGTTCCGGCCTCGTAACACTACGATCTTCAAAAAGAAAAATTATAAAAAAAAATAAAAAAATAAAATTGATATTTACTTTAACCACCGTGATCGTGTAAGCATACTTTTTCATTTATTTAACACGTTCGCTACCGGAGTTTCAAAAAAAACACATTGAAATACAGCAAATGGGCGACGCATATATGCATCGCTGGTAGCGAACGTGTTAATGTATTTTTCTTCAGTTAATTGACGAGTAAACTTTTTTCATTAAAAAAAATAATATTATTATTATATTAAGTATCCGATTCTCTTGTTTATTCACATTCAACTAAATTCAATTACATTCATTTATTCAATTTTGTTAAAATATTCGTTTCATATTTGTTATAAATTGTCATTTATGTTTCATATATTCATGATTGTCAGAAATTTTTATGTTCAAAAAAATGTTTTTCAATCGTCTTAAATATTATTATCAATTGGAAAAATTATTGGATCCAAAAAATCGTCAACGATGGCTATTTGAATTTATAATTCTTGCTATTCAAACTGGACGTTTCCTGTTCTATGTTATTCTTAGTTTAATGGATGAATCCATATTACGATCATATTGTACATATGATACAACTGCTGCACCATTATATGATTATTTTACTCATTTAAATGATGGAACATCATTGAATATTACCGATGGTCTTTTAACTACATTGATCATATCAAATTTTTTTATTTTTGTTCTACATAGTGAATATATAATATTTTTGTCCGATCATAATTCTATTGCATTTCGTACATTATATGATTTTTCCAATCGTAATTATGATCATTTTCATCAATCAATTATTTTTGGTAAAAGTATGAATATGATAAAAATGGCTTTCAATGTATTGATTAGTAATAACAATGATTTCAATGAATCAATATCATCATCATCATCACCATCATCAACAACATCACCGAAAATGATGCATGATTCTTTGGTAAAAATGTTGAAGAAAAATCGTAAAAGTTTCTTAGATAAATTAATCATACGGATAATGTTAAAAATGAATCTTTATAAGTTTGAAAAATTACGATTAAAAATATTCACCTATGCCGGTTTAAAGCAACGAATAGCATTAGCAATGACAATGTTTACATTACATTTTATGGATGTATTTTTGTTAACATTTGTTATATCCACTACATTTACACTTGCTTGTTTGAAATATTTTGAATTTATCTACAATCATATGTTGGATTTATGGCCATTAGCATTGTTCGATTGTATTTATCACCT